AGATTGGTCGTTGATTTTGGAAGATTGAATTCAGTGACGCTTAAAGATTCTTATCCTCTTCCTCGAATAGACGACGCATTAGATGCTGTCAATGGTACTAAGTATTTTAGCTATATGGATCTGATGAATGGTTTCTGGCAGGTTGAAATGGAACCTTAATCACCTGGACGCACTGCTTTTATTGCTTATGGTGGGCTTAACGAGTTTGTAGAGCTTCCTTTTGGCCTCACTGGAGCCCCGTCTACTTACTAGCGATTAATGGAGTGTGTTTTACGAAATTTGACTTTCAAAAGTTGCTTGATTTAGCTAGATGGCATCCTCGTCTATTTCAAAACCTTTGAGGAACATTTGCATTTGATAGACTACGTCATGCAAACCTTAGACCAAAACCTTCAAAGTGTAAGTTTGCCTGTCCACAAGTTAAATATCTAGGACATGTAGTTTCTCCTGGAGGAATAGCCCCAGACGACGATAAAATCGCAGCCGTAAGACTGATTTTCCACATTTCACAACGTTAAAACAATGCGATCGTTTCTAGGTCTAGCTAACTATTACCGTCGCTTTATGATAGATTTTGCCAAAATTTGGTCACCTTTAAATTAATTATTGCGCAAGGACAGCAAATTTGTTTGGACTGATGCTTGTGAACGAGCATTCCGCAAAGCTTTAAAGGATGCACTTTTCAGTGCCCCTATTCTAGCATTTCCAGACTTCCAGGAAACATTTCATTTGTACATCGATGCATCTAACGAAGGCATAGGAGTCACCTTGGGCCACATTCAGAACGATGGCGAAGTAGCTATCACTATATTCCGTCTACTCGTATTTTTGTTTTGGGTCACCTACTTGGTCAGTTCCACAAACGTCTTAGGCGTCCCAAACGCTGCGCAATGAACCTAAAATTGAAAGAATTTCCTCTCCTTTTTCACAATCGTTTTATTTTATGTTTAAAAGCACTGCATTGTAAAAAGTATTAATATTCTGTGTGAGTTAGATAAAAATTTACTTGACTTGACTTGACTACAATTGTAGCTTCACCCCAGTGACTTTCTAAGACCTAGGGACAAAGTTTTTTTTTTATTTTGTTTTATTATCATTTTGCCATTTTAAATTAAATATATACATACAATTCAGAAAGATGAGGCAAGGAAGCCTTAGGAAGCCAATAAGTCTTACGAAAAGGATCATCTTTACAAATATATGACTTAATTAATAAATAAAATACTGGCATAGGCAAGACAATTTACCTGAACACATACAATTTCTTAAAAACAAAGACAACAATAATTTCATAGGATAAAAATAGATAAGGCTGAACGTACAAGTGCAAAAGCAAAAAAGAAAAAGTAAGATAAAATAATGCAAAATTACGAGAAAGAAGCGAAAAACTACATACAAGTATTAAGAGAAGTAAAGGTGCTTATACCAAGAAAAATGACTTTAGTTAAAAAGTAAACACAGCAATACTAGAGGCATTCTGAATTTCAGAGCTAAGGGAATTAAATACTTTGGGCCCTTGAAAACGAAGTGAAGATTTCCTAACATCTTCCTGTTTCTTACCATCTTACTGTTTCCTGCCGTATAAATGCCATTTTAGCAAGTTTTAATGTTTTGGTTTCCCCCCTACTAAGATGGCATTCACAGGGCAGGAAAAAGTAAGAAAGCAACACAGACACAACTCTTCATGAGGTATGTATACTTTAATAGTTGTTTGTGTACATTTTCACTGTTTTATCGATGTTATGATAAATTCCTATACAAATCCGTATAATTTGGCTTCCGGTAAGCTGAAGTGAGTCTGCGATCTCCGTGATGTCTGCTAAAGAACTTGAGAAATTACTTGTAAATGACAAAATCACTGCTTTGTGACAAAGAAACATATCCCCCAAGTATAGTGTTGGAAGGGCAACATTAGCCATCACCAGAAGCAGCAACTGTAAGACTGTGTTGACATCTTCAAATATGAACTCCTTCCATTTAATCAATGACCATTAAAGATCTACTGGAAGATGTGGACTTTAAAGTTCATAATGATAACTTAGGCCTTGGTCCCTCCGTAACTTTCACTTCCTGACAATCAGTAACAATCAGATTACTGTCCTTAATCAGACCATTTTTCCCAAATATTTACACTGGCATGGGTTGGTCCTGTCCTATTTCACTGTAAGTTGTTCTGACAGGAAATCTTTTCCTCTTTGGTTTGTAAACGAAGATTGCCATTCCAAGAAATAACACAAACAGTCCAATGCTAATTCCGACAGTTATGTCTGAAAATGAACAAATATCTTGTTAGGTTTCTAGTTAAATCATTGATTGTTTCAAATGTGGTAAACATCATTGTCAAAGTAATGCTAGCCTGAGAAAACTAATATTACTACTTACTGGGGTGAAGAAAATCGTTTGTTACACTGAGGACTTCATTATATAGAGGTTCGTTATATCGAGATATCGAGGTTCCACTGTATATCATTTAACTATTTCTGGAAATTTTTAAGCCTCGGAAATTCAGCATGGAATTTTTTGGGGGTTAATTGATCCAGGGATGTTTTGGGGTTTGGATCTTTGCCCCCATTCAATCATCCCCGACACTTGAAATCCATAGTACCCCCACCTCCAAATTGGGTAGTGCTTCTGATTGGTTGTGCTGCATGGGAAATTTGCTTCAAGCAATCAAGAAGCACTACCCAGATCTAGGTAGTGATGCATTATCAGTATGGAATTTCTGCACTCTTTTCTCAGACATCTATTTGCGGGGAAAACCAGTGGTGGCATCGCCCAATTTCAGCTGTTTTCTTAGGCTACAGCAATGCACAAAGTTAGACACCTCGCCCCAGTTGTTCAAAAGGTGGATTGCGCTATCCTGCGAATAAATCTCTATCCAGTGGATAGTGCAATTGGTTTCCCTAATACTTACCCACTAGTGATTTATCCAGTGGATAGTGTTACCCACCTTTTGAACAACTGTATGGGGCCTGGGCTTTAGTCTGTAGTCCCTCATTTTCTCTCTTCATTTATCTCTGCACAATTCTGGGTGGTNCTCGCCCCAGTTGTTCAAAAGGTGGATTGCGCTATCCTGCGAATAAATCTCTATCCAGTGGATAGTGCAATTGGTTTCCCTAATACTTACCCACTAGTGATTTATCCAGTGGATAGTGTTACCCACCTTTTGAACAACTGTATGGGGCCTGGGCTTTAGTCTGTAGTCCCTCATTTTCTCTCTTCATTTATCTCTGCACAATTCTGGGTGGTTATTTTTATATGCATTCAATCTACTATCCCTGAGGAAAGAGAGGGACAAATACTTGCAGTCTAGCGGGCTCTAACAAAACTGTCTAAAAGGCAGTATTAACCATAACTAGAAGTAAAATGTCTAAAGAAGCCGGCCTGGGGATGGAGAGTGCTCTAGCCCTAGCCACAGCTGTTGAAAAAGTGGATTATGCTATCCAACTGGATAACACAATTGCTTTCCCAAATGTATCTGCTTGATAATGTTTTATCTTGTGGACAGTGTTATCCACCTTTGAGCAACTGTGGCCTGAAACATAAATGCACCTATTAAAGTGTGGTTCAGACACTGTACTTTAGGTGGGCCAAATCAAATTCATTTAATTACGTTTATGTGAAGCACGGCATCTGAATCAGTTCAAAACAGCTAATTGAATTTGGTTTGGCTCAGATGTTCTCTACGGCTGGCTCAGCCGAGAATGACAGCTGTGGACCAGCTTTGATTCAGATGCCAAATCAAACATATAAATCTTTATAATGAAGTTTATTTTGTGATTTTTCCCTTTTGAAGTTAGTTCGGCTAGATTAAAGAATGTGGTTTGGGAATATTTTGTCCTAAACGGGATCAGGGTTTCAAACCTTTAGCGGCTCATCTATACCCAAATATAGGTCGAGTACCCACGTGCGCACCCCCCACCCCCGCCCGCATCCCCACCTCCCCTCCCAGAGGTTGTACGGAACTCTTACCCTGTACATAAATTTTACAGCTCGTTTTTAGGATGAGGCTGTTGATAAGGGGCCTTGCCATGCTTAGAAAAAAAATACATGGCGCCGATGAAATAAAGTATCCAGCAAAACCCGTAAAGTGAGCTCAAGATCGATAGATTTTGTTGCCTTTCTTACCAAGTTTAGGCTTTCCCACTATGGTGTTAGTATCTGTTTGTGAACTTGAATCACCAGCAGTTCCTTGAATAAGACAAAAACAAAAGAAAATCTGAAATACGACGGACGAAACCTTCTCTCTAACCATTTTGTTCGCTCGGTTTCGTTTCGTTTGATTTTGGAAGTCAACTCATCCCCAGTGCTTTCCCCGTGAGAAAGAGAGAGACTGGAACGAGATCCGGGATATCGAATCTAAAAGAGGAAAAGATGGCGGCTTCTCTCCGAGTATTGGCAAACGGAAAATTGTCGACCATGCAACCTGCTTTGCGAGCGATAATCACCAGAACAAGCCCATTGGTTCTTTCTAGAGGAATCTCTGTAACAAGTGAGCTAAACCTTAGATTCTTGTGGTATATTTTCTGGTGGGAAATGAAAGACAAGGAGTTGAATCGCCTTGGCCTTGCAAAGCTGGGTGGTCATATTGCATTGCTACGTTATTGATCAGTTTTTTTTTAAAAAAAGTAAATTGTTGGTACTCTCAGTACAACTAAACTTAGTCCTCGGGATATTTTAAGCTTCATTGAAGTCCCTTGGCGTAAAAGCGATCGATTTATAATTTGCCACGCTTAAAATACCGGTAAGCCAAAGTACAGTATTTGTACATGAAGGAAGTCATGCGTAACTTCGTGTAGATTTTTGTAAGGAGACGTGATCTGATATAGACTTGGTGATATTTCTGTTCTTAAATTTGTGGCAATAAAGGGAAAGAAATCTCAGTTTTATCCAAAAAATAGACCAAAATTGAAATTGAACATGATCTGAAAACGCTCTGCAGTGAAGTTTAAGGTGCAAGTTTTGTTGATGCATAATTTGCACCTTTCAAACATTGGGAAATTTAGTGAAAGGCAGAGGTAGAGATTTGATAGAACGTATAAAATTTGATCAAGTTTTCATGGATGGGAACGTTTATGTTGATATTAAAACAGGGCTTCTGATATTTCGCGCGGTTGCGGACCCGCGAAATTCAGGTATTTCTGCGAAATCCCGCGAAATTCCCAAAACAACGCGAAATACCGCGAAATACGCCAGAAATATTTCCAAATACATGTCGGCAAAACATATTTAATACTTATCTTGACTATTAGACCTGTTTTATTCACCCCAAACGTTCAAATGTATCTTGAAACTTCGTCACTGCAACTAATAAACAATTTCCCAAAACTACCAGGCGTTTTTAGATGAACGTTGCGAAAAACTGGGCACTAACCATAATGTTAATGGCTTTAGCATTCGCTCATTTTTCGGAACGAACTGTTGTTGAAAGTGCAAATGATTATCCCTGTTAAAACAACGCTGGTCATATCGACGCAAAATTGATTGATTTTAGCAAAATTTGCCCAAAAAAATCCAGCGAAATCAGCTGTTTTTTTACTGATTATTTCTTGATGAAGTTTCCCCCCGAAATTCCCGTGAAATCAGCCGATTTTCTAAGAATTTGCCCCTGAAAATCCGTCGAAATTTGACTTTTTTCCCCTAAAATCCCGCGAGATCGGCTGATTTTTCTGTGAATTTTGACTTTTCTCCTGCGAAAATCCCGCGAAATCGGCCAATTTTTCCGTGAATTTTGACTTTTTTCCCGCGAAATCGGCCAATTTTTCCTCGAATTTGCCCCTGAAAATCCCACGAAAATTTGCTTTTTTTCCGCAAAATATCAGAAGCCCTGTTAAGAGGAAGTTTTTTACCTTTAAAAATAGAAACCGTATGCACTAGAAATATTACTGGAATATTTTTGTGCTGTTCAAGGAAAAAGCCAATCAGGCAAGAAAAAACTAAACTGCAACTAGCAGTGGTTGTTAGTTTGTTGTTGCTTGCTTGAGTGTCCTTATCTTTGTTGTGATTGGTCACTTTGCAATGAACATTCATGAAATATTTCAGATGTTTACAGCTACTGAGTTTGAAAGTTTAAATTATTTAAACTTTAACAATAATAGTATTTCAAAAGTAGGTTGAGTTTGATCGTCCGGGTGAATATAGTCCTGAATAGGACTGTTGTTGTTGACAGTGACTATGTTCACCCGGACGATCAAACTCAACCTACTTTTCAAATGACTCCTGGGTTCAAACCTTTCACAAAAATAGTATTTATAACCATTGGCCAGACATGTAGCTTAGTTTAATCAAGTCCCCTTGGAAACATGTGCCATGCAACGTTTTACTGTTCTTCATACAAAATATTATGTCAAATTATTAATTTGGCTTGGTATGTAAGTTACAGACTTATCAGGAAGTTAAACTTTTCCTACTTTTTTCAGTCTTGTGCATGTACAATGATTCATATTGGTACTCCTGCATGCTGCAATAATGTGCAGTTTACATCACTAATGTTCCTTTTTTACACCTTTTGCAGAATCAATAACCTTGCCTTGAAAACAAAGCTAAAATCTAACTTGTAAATGCTGAAAACCTTGCCTTGAAAACAAAGCTAAAATCTAACTTGTAAACGCTGAAAGAGTCCTTGATTACCTACAGGAATTTTTACTCAGGGGAATGTAAAAATAGGGACTTCGTCTGACAGTTGAAACAGGGTTTTGTGAAGGTGGCCATAAGTAGAGCTGTTTGCTTATGACAGCATCCATTTAGAGAGCTTCCAGAACTGTAAAGATGTTCAGATAAATTTCATCAAATCCTACGAGTTGGAGGCCTTCACTGTTCCTTGAGAACATGGAACTTATCTAGTCATGACTTACCTACAAAAATCAAAGGGTACATATACCTTCTCAAAGGGCAACTTCAGCATTCCTAGTGCCTGCAAATAGCAGGAAAATCTATCAGCAATATATATATATGCATCTATCTATAATAAAGCAGTGTTTGTACCACATATAACAGGTACCAGACTTGGTCGTATTCCCACTGATGCAGAGCAAGCCACTGGTTTGGAGAGAAAGGAGTATGAGGCTATGGCAGCTGGGATTGAGGTAAGATAGTACTAAATCAAAGTGAATTGATTAGTTTAATTCATCAGTAGATTGAAAATCAGTGAGTGTAATCTTAAAAAAGGGGGTCACAGCAAAAGTACTGCTCGTCTTGAGTCATTCTGGATTGCTTTTCCTTTTGTTGAGTTAGCATGAATTTATTAACTGTGTTTTCTTTGTTTTTTACTGTCATTTATGTCTTTTAACTTGCTCACTAACCATGTTCATAATAACCACGTTGTTAATAATTTATTGCAGGATCCTTTCAACATGAAGCCACAACGAGGTCCTCCAGGAACTAAAGACAAACCTACAGAAGTTCTGTCTATATATGAAGACAGAATCATTGGATGTGTCTGTAAGTGTCCATGATGGGAATTTTAAGTACAAATTAAATTGAGTGTCAAGATATTGCACAAGCTGCAAGAGCATATATGTTAAAATTAGGTAACCTGTAAATTTTCAACCATATATCTCAAAAGTAGTGATTGCAATGGCTGCCGAAAATCAGAAGGACTCTTGCCCAGGGCTCAAAGTTAGCAACTAACTGGTCACGTATGCGACTGGATTTTTGGTTGTGCGCCTAGAAATTCATGTGTAATCACACCTGTGCACGGTAAAACCCAAAGCACAGTGCGACTGACTTACTTCCAACCACATGTATACTAACTAACTCGAACTAGAAAGACAGTGTATGTTTAATAATTGGTCTTTTCTCCCAATGGATTCTACAAACTTGAATGTTCTTTTTCGTTTCGATGTTTTACTCCATCCCAGACTCTTCTGTTTTGTAATAAACACGGCTGGCACATGCAAATATATGCTACGAACGAAACACATACTTTTTGCGCAATGGATGATCATGTCGAACGTTCAGTTTTAACGTCAATCAAAGCAAAAACAGTGTGGATTAAGAGCCTTTTTTTTCCAGGTAAGAAAGTTTTTTAAGTCATGTTCCAGTTACATGTAAGTCATTGCGCATTTAACAAATTCATCAAAGATTAATTTTCATTCGCGTTCAACACATTCATTGTTGTCAGTTTTGAATTGTTTTTCAAGTGTAAGTTTTCTTTAGTCACAACTGTACAGTCAAAAAGAGAAATTAATTTTAAAAATCACAACGGTATTACTGCGTAGCAAATCAGCTGTGGTTTATCAATCACAGGAGTGAAGTAAAAGTAACAAACTGAAGATGACAAATAAATGTGGCACTGTTAAGCTTTTTACTTTCTTTTGAAATAGATGCTCCTAACATTGTAAGCTGTACTCCTAAAATTTTCAGCTGTGCGCATAAAATTTCGGAAGTGCGCCTAAAAATTTACATCTGGTAGCACAAGTGCTCCCAAACTCAAATTTAAACTTTGAGCCCTGTTGCCACCCAGTCATACTTGAGTGGTCTCCCATACAACTCCTTGTAAATTCTGAAATTTTTAAACGGTTGTTAAATCTTTTTCTTATGCATTTAAGGGCTCAAAGTGCCTGTTATGAATTTAAAGGAGATTTGAGCCCCGTAATGCTTAAGGAAATATTTCACAATAAGGATTTGTATGAATATCATTCAAGCGTGACTTGGTGGCAAAAGTTGTTTTTCTCACACAAATCCTTCTAATTTTCGGCGGCTGTTGCAATTGTTTCTTTTGAGATATACAGTTTAAAATTGAGAGGTTACCTAATTTTAATATGCTCTTTCAGCTCCTGCTAACAAAATGTTTCGAAAGCGGACTGTTTTCGTGTTTGTCGAAAGTTGATCACATGATCAACTAATGCAAAAGGCCTATTGATACAAAAGAAATTCCAAGCTGTTTGATCCCCCACAGACTTGTTGTATACTTGGCAACTGGACATCAAAGTGAGATTCCTGTGCTTTCAAAGGAAATTTATTGCACAGAATAATATCAATCTGAGTTATAATACAAGCGCAGCTACATATGGATGTTGTCACTTCTGGTGCCCTTATCCATGGAATAAATGGTGAAGACTAGTACATAGTGTATACATTGGTCAATTGAAATTTAAATGTTGCATTCAAGGAGCAACTCTCCTGTTACCATTTTTTTTTCTATTTCAGTAAAATTTTATTTTGTTTACAATAAATTCATGTAATTTACAATGTTTTACACATTGACTCTTATGAACACGAAAAAAAAAACAAACAAACAAACAAACATATTTACATCACACACACACACAATTACATACTGATAAACACACCCAATTACATTTTTCTCTTTTTACATGAAAAATTAATAAATGAAGTAAGCGGTGAAAGAATTGTATGCTAATCTGATTTTACTCCATTTCATATTGTGGGTCTCCAACTTGTTGCGAGACTTAGCAATCATTGTTTCGAGTAAGAAAACTGTGTTAATTTTGGAATTAAGAACTCCAATGTAGGGTGAATATTTGTTCTGTCTACAAACTGTTACCATGGTTTGAGTAGTGTTCCCCCAAAAATGGTTGAAGTACCTTACAAGAGGTGAACATCCACAAGAGCACTTTAACTGGGAATATTTTGATGTTTTGGAGATCGCACGTGAAGGTCCAACATGTCATGTCATGTCTAATGAATATGGACAATTAAATCTGGTATTTTCATGTAATTATTTTCTAATAACTACAAAATTAACCACAGGCGAAATGTTGTGTATATTTTGATGATAGGTGAACCAGATGCAACTTCTATTGTTTGGAGGAAGTTGAAGTTGAATGAGCTGACACGTTGTGACTGTGGTCACTATTTTATACTGAAGAAAGGAAATCCTATTAACATTCCTCTTGATGAACCTGCACATCATTAACAACACAAGACGCATAAAAAATTTTTGGAATTGTAACAAGAACAATCAGTATGGTGTGTTTATGGATTACTTTGTAACATTTTTGGCTTATTTTGTGATTTGCTCAGTAAAGCAATGTATTCATGTAAGCTGTTAAAAGTTCTTGATTGCCATTAAATTTAATTTTTGAACTTAGACTTTGAATGATTGTAAGTTTTTGTACCCATCAAGAACGGAGGCTCATTGTCATGAGTATAGGGTGCATGCCCGGGTGGGGGGAGGAGGGGGGGGTACTGCCATATATGGGCTATATAGGTATGTGCCACTGTGAAGGGTATGGTTTTCAAACAGTTTCTCTAGGATAGGGTATGTAAATCAGAGTGCTTGGGTCTAGAATAGGGTATTATTTTTCAGGAAACTGATCAGTTGGTTGAAGATTTTATCTAGACTAGAGATTGTGGTATAAGGTTTTGTTTTGACTAGACTGTGCTAGTGACCTCAGTAGTTTCTGGAAAACAGCTACTCTAGGATAGGGGGGATTTGGGGAGTTTACTCTAGTATAGGGTAGCAAAATTCAGCTGAACTAGCTCTGGTATAGGTTAAGGATTCCAGGGTCCCAGCAGCACATCCCAACCCAGAAATTCCTAAAGCACCCCCCCCGGGGGGTGCGTGAGTAAAAAACTGCCTGACCCATGTACTGTGATGAGCTTGGTGGGTAACCATGACAACCATCGCCATGGCAACAACTTAAGCACCATTTTACTAACACTATGCTCGATTTCTGCCCTTTCTGCCGGGTCCGGTTTGGTTCCTCCCCAAGAAAGAGCGGAGCGCTGGCTCATTTCCCGAATAGCAGCTGGTTATCAAGCCTACAGATTTTCGAGTTGCCGTAGGCCTCCTCATAAAAGCGAGGCAGGTACAAAACCATCCACGCAACCCCGTTCCCAGGTTCTCTCTCCTACCCGTTGCCATCCAGGTGAAGTCAAGCAGTGGGAAACTGAGTGAAACATAAAAATGACTGGTCAAACAAAAAAAAATGTGTAGATAACACAGCAAATACAATGAGATGAACGGCTGGACAAACTTAAAGAAAATTGAAACGGACTACAGTGGTTGCAGTTACAGTGGTTTTTGAAAACTTATTAGCCTAACAGTTTTCCAAAGTTCATTTCAATGTGACGCTTAGGAAACATGTTTCGTAAACGGAGCAAGTTACTTCTCTGTTAACTTGCGGAAAAAAAACGATTTTGTCAGTGTCAAAGAGAAGTGATCTGTTAAACAATTTCTGCAAAGAATGCTACTCGTCATGTGGATCCCGGTTTTGAGGAATTATAACATTCCGCAGGAAAGCAAAGCGGTCCATCCTCAACAAACCTCCACACCCATGGAGCCCCTCTACAACTGGTGAAATCTCCTCTCATTTTCTTTGGCCCCGACGCATAAAAATATCAGCAAGCAAACAACTGCGATTTGCCCCTCAGAATACTGGAAACCGAATTTTCGGGATAAAAATTTTCAAAAATTTCTGATAGAGCGTGTCCCCGGACCCCCTAGATAAAGTCGATCGAACCCCACTTTACGTACACCCGCTTAATACTGCGGACAACTCGTAATTACGGACAGTTTTCTTTGAACCTGGGGAAAGTCCTTACATTTTCTCTAAATTCAACTGCGCTTAGTACGGACAAGTGTTTGTGGACCACAAACACTTGTTTCTTGCCCAAAAGTTTTTTTTTTTTTTAGATATTCCGTTGCCAACTGTGCCGCTGTAATAAACCTTTCCTTTTTGAAGGTGGTCGCTTACGGGAGGATAAGAAACAAATGAAAATTCTAAAACCGTCATCCGGAAAGTTTTGGTGTTTTGGAAAGGTGGCTTACGCTTACGAGAAGTGGTCGCCCATGAAGGTTCGACTGCAAAAAGAAAATCTCCTCTTTCAAACTAAACCGCAACGTAACATTGAGGGCGGGACTTGAACTCTGGGACTTCCGAATTGCAAATCAAACGAGTTAACAACTCGGACAAGCTAAGTGCCTCCCTTGCTGTACGGCTAGTAGTGGCAAAATGCTAGTTAAAAAAAAAAAAAGCAATTTCTTCTGGTTTATGTTAGTCTTTATTCTGACTGTTTGAAATTATTGTAGAATTGTACACGGAGAAATTGGGAAGTTGGGTCCTCTTGAGAAGCAAATCAAAGATTACCCTAAGAGCGGTTCACTCCCCGAAAATGGCGGTCAGTAACCTCTGCTCACATGTTAGTCAAAGATATAGCTTTAACAAAATAACCTGAACAACGCATGTATTTTGATCACAAGTGATCCACTGAAGTATAATTTCTTTATTTACTTATTATTTCTGAATTCTAATTTGTAATATTTTTTGCGAACACATTTTAGCTTAGAAGCATTAAGCCCATCGCTACCCAAAGACCCAAATAAAAAACTGAGAGTACGTCCAACGGCTTCTCTTATAAAGAAATTCCAATTTGCACAAAAGTGATTTTAAGGATTTCTTAATTTAAACTTTTATATTTACTATTTTTTTTGCTTAAAAGCCTTATCATTTATCAGTCAATTGGCAAAGGAGCTTCGATGCAAGACGTTTTCCCATCCCACAACCAAAACCAATTATTCACTTTCTTGTAAGAGAAGGTTCATATAGCTAGTTCGCTTTTGGCGTAACACATCGCAAAGAATCTTTTAAATAACTTTTAAATAGAAAATCGCGTTTTGTGCAAATCAGTTCTCTCTCTTTTTAAGCAGAAGTTCGGTGCATGAGGCGTTGATTCAGAAGAAGAAATGGAACCGTTTGTTAACCCTTGAAGTCCCAATATACAAATTCCCCCAGACTGATCTCCACACATTTTCTTAAAGAGTTAGTTGAGGTGGAATTTGTTAAAAAAATCAAAACACTTTCCCTTTGGTGATCATCCCATTGATTCTCATAACTTTTTATCTATACTCTGTACTGATTGTGTTAGGAGAAAATTGATGTTGATCACCGTTAGGACTTAAAAGGCTAAACTTTAAACTCTCAATCGAGAGTGTTTTAACACAAAATTTATGATAATTCCTAAACCAGAAAAAGGAATAGCCTTAAGCGCAAATGCAACCTACGATCACGCGAACAAATAAAATGTCATAGGGCCTGAGTGTGGGATCATAGCAAAGGATTATTCTCAATGTGCAAAGAAACCATTTTGATATATATATCACAAGAATGTTAAATAAATATTTTACAACGCAACAGCAAAATATTGATAGCAACTGGAATTTTAAAACATAACAAAAAGATAATTTCTTGGATCACTACACTCCTAAAAGGTCGCCGAGGGTTTGGACGAGGCCAACTTGTACCTGGAAATTGACCAAACGTTAAAAACTGTCCGCTGCGGATGAATATTGCACTGCTATAAAAGCTGGATGAAAAGTAACTAACTGCGAGCAAGCTCTCCGTGTCCGGCGAGGGAAGCGAGTCGCCAGAAAACGCGCGAGCGAGTGGTGAAACGTATCCTTTCTGTGCAGCTCACGAGAGACTTCTCGCGACTCCCCCAAATGCAGAGCTTGCTCGTAGGCCATGTGGAAAGCATACAAACTTACGATTCAGGTCCACACTAACGGATATTTTTCAGTCTTTAAAGTGGACTGCTCCAAGCCCTCAGTTCGTTAGGACGAGCGAAAAGAAGAGCGAACGCCCTGGGATCGGAGGAGCCCACAGTCCAACCCGCCTTCTCTTCCTCCTTTCTCTTTTCTTTAAAGTCTAGCTTTCTCATTTTTCTTTGTCTTGAGAGCATGGAACAAGCCATCCTTAGAATGGATAAGTTCTTAAGGAAACGTTTAAATTCATACGAATTTACCAGCGTACAGTGCACGGACTCGAATGGAGGCAGCCTCAGTTGACTGAATGTTTAAGAATAGCTAAGAGTTTAACTGATTTATTACAAATAGCCACAAATATATTGTTTTCTGAGATTTAATTCCTGGGGGATTCCCCTTAGAAAGGGCGAGGATGCCCGTGGTCTTGTTTAGGAGTGCAAATTGCTTATTTTAGTTTCACTTAGAGTGTTCAAAACGCCAGTGGTTTTACCCACATGGGTTTTGCTTACGGCTGTGCGTCAGGAAATAAAGAAAGAAAAAGAAAAAATCAACAACTTCTTTACCGCAGTTAAGATTGCTATAGCTCTATTTGGCTCTCTCTTTTCGATTACTATCTTTTAGGAGAAACAATAAGTTTTAGGCACTCCCACAATGTTATCTTTTCGGGGTCTGATTCAAATTTCCCGACGAGTATCCCCGCATTTTCCACATGGGAGTTCCCCCTCCGGGGGGGATTTACCGACCCACCCGGTCACTCCTCTGTCCAGTCTATTACTGAATAGAGAAAGTAGCACATTTTTCTCTCTGTCGTTTATGATTATAATATATTCTATACATGTTTAAAGTCCGGGGACAGTGGCTTCGTATGCCAGTCGTTCTGCAATGTAATACACTATCTATGGGTACAAATTTAATTTCTTCTCTAAATGTACAGTAACTGTTGATAATATATAACATCCAATCAGGCCTCGCCATTTTTAACAATATTTTGATTTCTACCTCCTGTGTTTCCACTCGATGGGACGTTTCCTTCATGTAATTTAAGCAGTTCACCTAAGTATGCTTGGAAAGCATTCATGGCGGCATTAATAGCCGGCGACCCAAAACCGTGAGTCACGAGTCCAAACTGATTAAGGCTTCGTAAGATGGAGTCCGGTAGATTACTGTTGGGTAGCCTGGTCTTAGGGTAGGGGTCTTGTGCAAGAACGTCTTGAAGTTCTTTTGTCAATTGTCTGAAAGAAAGGAGATACATGAATACCAAACATTGAGAGAACTTAACGTTTATTTCAACATCGTATGGTGTAGTGTGACATAGCATTCAGTTCTCCAAATTTTCAAATAGAGAGAAGTAAAAAAAAAGGAATACCAGGGGCTGATCCAGGATTTTTTTTAGGAGGGGGTGCACTCGTCTCTTGCTCTACTTCAACACCAATAAACCACATAGCTTTTTTTTTTGCAGAATACCAGTTGTATTAGAAAACCGCAGGTCATCTCAGGGGAGCGCAGGGGGGGGGGTGCGCACCCCCTGCACCCTCCCCCTAGATACGCCCCTGAATACGAAGGCAAATGAAAGGAGTAAAACGGCAATGCGGAGATAGATGAGAAACAGAATTAGCGTGCATTTTGCATTCCTTTAGAACCTACATGAGAGCTTTTAACTAGAGAATCATACAGCGACTTAGGCTATTTGAACACTATACTGCATAGCTTTTGCGCCGCCTCGAAAATCAGACCCGCCGGATAAGGCTTCTGTTTACGCACAAGAACAGTTGGGGAGGCGCGATTTCTGTGACGGAGCGAAGCTACGCCGAACCGATCTCGAAAGTGGAGCGTCACACATCGGAGGTAGGTTTTGTGCCACGTACAGTGTGAACACTGATCCATTCGGCCCGTCGCGGAAGTAAATAAGTTGGAGCGAGGACTAAACCCCACTGAGACAGAAGTAAATATTAAGGAGTGAAGACTACAGTTTAGTGCTCCAAACCCTCTCGGCCAACTGTGCCGGCACAATCTTCGATGTGTGTGAACCACTTGTGCCACCCTGGGCCGTTGTTGTTCATGCCGTATGCCGGGTAGATTTCCGTGGCGCCGGTATAGTGTGCAAATCCTTAGTTACTTGCTAATTAACTAAAGAAAGAAATACGTACTTTGCCGCGAGTATGGCGTTTTTCCTAGATTGTTGCTGGGATGGTTCTGCGTGTTGTCTGTACTGTCTCTCGGCCAGCTGTGCAGCAGGAAATTCAGATTCACATACGTAATCAAAATCTGCGGCTAAATGAGCTGCCTCGCCTACAATAAGATCAAACAAAACAGACATCAGGACTGACTTTATCGGAGTCACCGCCAAGTTCCAGACTAAATTTCACCTGAAAAAAACAACTTTGAAAGGACAGGAGTTTTTTCTTCCAGGTACCTTGCAATTTAAACAGGGGTAAATAAAATCTTCTCTCCTATATTTAAATATTTAAATGAAAAATTATCCAATAGCTTTCTTACAGGTGACTATAAAGGTTATTAAAATAACTCTAAAAGTAGTTACTGAAGAAATGGCGATTAAAAATAAGAATGCAACGAGTTTCTTGCTGTAACTATATCACCTCCCTGCGAATAACCTCTTATGTCTATTTCATCAAAATTCACGGCTTATACCTGCTATACACCGCTACGAAACCCCCTAACAGAAATAACAGTTTCAATACTTACCTTCTACCAGTGATGTAAGTAGCGTGACTTGTGCTGCCTTCCTTCTCCCCGCCGGAAGTGACAGACCGATCTTCTCTAGCTTGTCACGCAAGCTTTTACCCCCATTCTTAGACTTGGCCCTGGTAAAGAAAGAAAACAATTCAATTCCTTTTCTCTGTCGCAAGCTTGTCATCTGACGATTTTGATTTTTTTTTTTCATCAATTGCCGTTGATCACGCACATACCTCCGAAGCACTCCACCCAGCAGCGAAGCATTCAGACACTCGGGGTGTGAGAGTCGCCTGCGGATTTCGCCAACTGTGACCTTGTACTTTGATGTAGAACTAAGAAGAGACAGCCTGCCCGGTACACAACAGAACACATCTGAAGGGTGAACGGGACCGTCCGAGTCGACTTCTTCGCGAGAATCACGCTCCACGTGCTTCTGTTTGTGACCTATTACGAAACAAACATTTCTAAGTTCGGAATACAATCTATTTTCGTTGAACGGTTTCTTTTTAAATGAACCACTCCTTGTGTAAATCACACCACTTAATACTGACCAGTTTTAACGACATCAAGTTCACAGTTTAGGTCGTACACGTAGGTAACATGCACCTAACTTTGGATCGTTCTCCATTGCCTCCACTTTAATAACGTTTGTTTAGGATACTTTTATTGTGCGGCCTGATACCTGCTCTTTTTATTGCCGTGCTGTATTTCTCATGTGCTTTCTTTGCACGGTTCAGGGTTTTTTTTTTTTGAGGAATAACAGTGTGCATTTACTCGCTTTTTCACCCCTTCGTGACCGAGGGCGTTTTTACTTAAACACCGAGCCTGTGCTTGTAAAAACAGCACTGGTGCTACCGTTGATTTCATTTGCAGAAAATTGCGGGATCTTGTCTGTCTTGAGAGGTATTTCTACGACATGAGCTACAAAAAAGGTTTCCGGCATGCTACTGATAAGTCGTCTGAACTGTGGTACTTATTCGCTCCGAGGAGCATCGAAAGGTTGGTCAGAATATATAATCAACTGACTTAACACAAAAGATGACCCACATCACCACACAAAGTCTTCACAAATAAAACTTTATACAAAACACGCAAAGCTATTTTAAAATTAACTGCATTGCTTAAATAAAGATGCTAAATTAACGAGAACTAGACAGATTTTAGAAAAATTTCAAAGAGGAACCTCTACCGGGAGAGCGCTGAGTACAGATTAACGTCTACATATGAAGTTCATACGGCACAACTCAAGATTTAACTAAAAAGAGAAGTTTTTCAGGACCAGCACGTAACCCAAGTCATCTCTTATGCTAGAGTTGGATCCCAAAAGGAATTTTTACTTTTTTTTCAACTAAAGAAACTAAGAAGTATAACCAAGGCGGTTAAAACGATCGCGCATTTCGAACAAAAGCTTGGTTTATATTTTTAGTTAAGTGGAGGAAAATTTGGCAAGAAACGAGTTGGCTCAGTCTAAAACCACACAGAAAGCAGCAAGATGCAAGAATTAACATGTACCACGTGAGCTTGTTGTCGGAACAACATTTCAAGGTACTTAAGAAAAAAAGACTGACATTGAACCTTATGCACGGAAATAACTTTTTACCAAAATAAAATGGCGAGAAAATGCAGCTGAAACCTTCAGTCGCTTAAAGCGAGCGACCTGGTCTTACACTAATCCATATAGGCCAGCATTATTAATTTTTCCTTTATTAAAGAGGAATTAATAAGTTAAGACGCTTTTGGCTTAGGGTTATCGCCCGCCCATTTGCAGCTTTTAAATCTGCCAAAATTTGCTAGCGGCATTTATATTAAAGGTTAAGCATCAACGCCTCTTTACATGCTTATAAACAGTTTGTCCTGATTTTAATAAAGTTCTCGACGCAATTACGGTTATGTTAAAGCATCTCGGCATCCAAACGACACTAAGTCCCTCGGAACCGGCAGATCAAGAACAGAGACAAAGTACAGAACTGAGGCCGAGATTTATCATGGCCTTGACAGACACTAAAAAGCTAAGATGCGGATATGAAAAAAGAGCTCTTTAAGGATTACTCTTTTAGAGATAAACAGACCTATTCGAATGACTAAATATTGTATTCTCATTTTTTTCAAAGACTTTGCACTTATAAGAAATGAAGTAAGATTACTATTTTTAATTTATACTATTTCTTTTCTCTTAATTAAAAAGGCTGCTGTTCTCAAGAAAAAAACGGATCTTTAAATTAAAGGACTTTCTGCAAAGCGAACCAAATTAATCGTCAACTTTCCCGTTCACTAACATCACTTACAAAAACGTTTTCGACCTCTCCTAACAAACAACTGTTGCTCAAAGATACAATTTATAGGAGCGAATTTATCTCAAGTTGGTTCATAAAATGTGTTTCTAACAAACAGTCATGTCAGAGAGTCAAATTGTAGCGAATTTTGTACAATAGAGGTTGAAGATGAGCATAAATGACGTTCTCTGTGTATTAAAGTAGCCGTGATTTGTAAGCTCGTGCCAAGTCTTACTCAAACAAATAAGGCCGGAACATGCGAATTAAATCAACCAACTTTCTCTCCTCTGTTTGGCAAGGGCATGTCACTCATTTCATTTTTTGGATTTTGGGAACCATTCTGAGTTACCCAAATACACCCGATAACTGACAGCAAATGTACATTTTAGCCTCAAAACTCTTTACCTTGAAGAACAGTCATCTCAACTTTTTTAATAACAGAGCGCGTATAACTGAACTCTCCAGACAAAAAACGGTCATGATAGCTGCGAGGCACAGACTACTATGGTTTAAAGCGAGGATTAAAAACTCTATCAATTTAGCCCCCGGAAAAGTTTCTGGTAGAATTGCGAAGAACAAATGGCGCGTGTTGAATAATGTTGGTTTAGTAATGTAGGCCCGCTCAAAGGTCCTGAAACAAACCACAACTCAGTCAAGCGTCAAACACTGCATAGATTCAATGGCTGGGACACTTATTACGTCCCTGGCAAAGTGCGCTTGTTGCAATTAACTTCACAAAATATAAACATAAATATCATAAACAGAAAATCAATGTTTTAACTACATATTCACTCGCATTTGTAAGAAAACGTCTAACCAGGGCTGTCACAAACTGTGTGGTTTGCAAGATTCTCTTATATAGAATTGAAATAGACACTGTATTTTAAAGTTTTACACAGATAAACCGTTTGTTTTGTTTCGTGATGTTAAGGAAGAAAACTGCAATTTTTGAACGCCCATTTTCATGAGCGGGCCATTAGAGACATGAAACTGCTATGATAGATCTCAACTATAACGACAAAATTACCAATGCACAAAAGATGCCGACATCTTAAAGAATCTGAATAAACGTTAGGTTGGCGTCACTAAGATTAAGATGTTTTATTAGAGTATTTTTAGCGATGTATGGTTTGATGGTTCATAGAGTTTTCAAGTGACCCATTCTGATATCTGCTATATATATTTAACACAACTGAAGAAAGTTATGTCGCAAACAATTAAAATGGAAAGCAGATTTTCTTCGATATTTGCCAAACTACTATTACGTTTTTATCTGAGTCTGATGTTTTGGTCACAAAGTTACGAAATAAATTAGTTTCTGCTGAAGCATTTGCCACAGTCTTACGTAAACAGTTCCTTAAATAAGTAGTTTGATTCATTCTCGATGCGGTTCTGCAAGTATTCTTATTTTGCTGCCGTCGTAAACCGAACAACATATTTCTTACTTTGCACCCTTATTCTGCCGTAGATGACTTAAAAATATATCTTATCAAAGTTTATCTTCCGCATTTTTCAAAGTGAGAACAATCTTTAAGCAATCCGTTATGAGTAGGTGTCTACAGAGGTTTAGCGCATGTTTGTGTATGTTGACCCCTGCTGGGAAATATATTCACTTAAAAACTGTGTCATTGATATGATACTAGAAGTTGTGTTTTTCAGACCATATCAGACCGCGTGTCCGGTCAACAAATTCTTATAACAGAACAAAAATTATCACCTTAAAACAAGAAGGGTATTTGAATTTCAAAGAGAAATAAACATAATATTGCATGGTATAGGATTTCACGAGAACAAAAAGCTGTCATGACAGCAATAATCGCTGGAAACACGCCGTAAAGTTGGTGTACTTTTATCTTTTGTTTCCAATATCAATTCTGCCACCATATACTGCGGTTGATGACACTTATTGACTGACTGTATGTGAAGAACAAGCGGTATATGTATGTATGACTGCGTTCTGCTGGCTTCCCAATATTTCCTGTAAAACTACATTTTTTCATAAAACATTAACATAAGAAAAGCATTCACCTGCTCTTAGTAATTTGCACCTCAAGAACAGCCCTTTCAAGCTTTCTGCGTAACTTTTATAGCAGATGTTTTTTGTCGTCAGTAGAAATTAACATTAGAACGATAATAACAATGATGAAAAATAAATATCATAATACAAAGAAAAGTAACGAAAACAGTATAAAAACTGTGTCCGCCTGCCTGCAGAAACATCGGAAAAGCTAGAAAATAAACTACAATCGCTTCATTTTCAGAAAAACAGCCAGGTTTTGATCAGTGACATTTTTGTTCAAGGTAATCCTTTTTCTGACAGCATCATTTCCCCCATTTTCCAAAGCTTGATTCAAACCTACTGAAAGAACTTTATTTCCGAACAAAATTTTCCGAGACCGTTCAATTGATTAAAACGGCAGAACTGTTGACAGCTTAAAGAGTTAGTGTCAGAAATTTGAACTTTAGTCGAGCAAAATAGGTAAATAAATAAGCATAAACTAACGCGAAACAAATATCGTTAATAGCTATAAGCAATGTTAATGTGTAAATGTAGGAACACATATTATTGGGACTAAATAAGATATTGCTTAAGTCTTTCCAATATAGAACTTGTCCCCTGGAAAAGTACAGAGATATGTTTAAATTCAGGCTGAATGATATTTGTCATTTTACAACAGATATTCTTTTAACAAAATGTAGAAAGAAAATATGAATTTAATGAAATATTACTTCCTCGTTTGACATTCGTAGTTTACTACAATTTTGAGTCAGCCAGAGGCATTTTCTAACAAGCCTAAACAAACTGTAATTTTCCAGTAGTTATTAAGTTGCCCTATCCAAGTACCCTGCGTAGCTGGTAAAGGCCATGGAATTAAATCTGTGCCGGCAACCCGTGGCCGAACATGTTCGTTTGCCCAAACAGTTGTCCTGGTCAGCAGGCTCGGGGCTAGAGTTCACTGCTGTGTAGTGAAACACAACCCACGAACACAAATAAGTGCAAGAAGTAATTATCGTAATAACAGTAACATGAAAATGGGCCAATTAAGCCTTTAAAGAACGAAGCAAACTTTCAAAATCAGTTACGTTTTCCAGCCTGAGGTGATATGAAATAAATTAAACGTTCTCTTCAACAAACACGATTTTTTCAGGTCAATAGATGGCTCATATTCCTTTATTTTTCTATATTTTTGTTAACAGACAACGAAAAAAAAAAGAAAAAGAAATGGAAGAACACTGTTGGATAAGAATTGTACTCACAATAATGCACGGCTTCAAATGAACAGTAAAACAAAGAGGAAACCACACAAATCTTATTCTTTATTGCGTTGAATTGTTTTGTGACATGGCCAGTTATATATTTCAGTTCTTTCCATTTATTGTCAAAGGCAGATTGATGACTCGAGCAAAATATTGTCTCTCCACTAATGATGGAAAAGATAAATAACTTATGCACATTTGCTCAATTGAAAATTCTATATGATCCTTCTTTGTCAGACAAGGTACATACGATGTACTCATGGTAGAAAAATTGATTAGTGAAGCCATTTTGCACCGATACATCACCCCAATTTTAATCACCTACAAACGAAACCTAGTTTCTCTACACTTTTAAAGGAAAAATTCATGAAGTAGAGGTTTAAGCTCTTCGCCTTTGTTTGGGTTTTAAATCCTTCTTTAATTACGAGAATAGGACGAACGCGCTAAGTACTGACGCAAAGAGATAAATCTTTCCGTTTCCTCTCTTTTTTATCAAATAAGAACTCGCAGAACGCTTTAATGATTTGAAATCGAGTAAGATTATTCGTTTTTTTTTTCACTATACATGTGAAAAGCGGCTTAACTCTGACATACTATACTTTTTTTATTGGGCAGGGTGAATGAATTGCTGTTCACTGCCAATATCATTGACTGACTATTCAAAGTTTAGCTGGTGTTCAGAAAAAGGAAATGTCTATTTCTAGAACAACCACGCTAAATGTCTGCTGACTATGAAGATCTTTTACACACCTGCAGTAAAAGCTTTTCTCGGCGATTTTATTAGAAAATAAGGTGATAAGGTTTTGCCCTCTGACTAAAGTAAATTAGATATTTTCTTGTCTTCATAAACACGATAAGGGCTGATTTGAAAAGTTGGAAAGTTACAGGGGATTCAGTCTTTGGCGGACTGCTCGTAATCCTTATTACATTCCCCTCTTAAGATAATGACGTTTATGGATACAAACTAGAAGTGTGAACTCATGATTCTAATGAAAATCGTTGAGTTGTACTTTCCTGTAGTGCTGATGTTATATTACGCAACATGGATCTAAACTTTTATTTTCTGGATCAAAACATCAACTGTGACTAAAGAAAACTAGAAGACAAAGCCTTTGCATGTTGTGTCCCTTTAAGCTACATTTTTAAACAGAACAGAGTCGTTCAAACGAAAAATTATAAAGTTCTTCACTTACCGTCTCGTACACTGTGGTGATTAGGTGTTTCTCCATTTTTATTGTTTAATCCAGATCGATGATTCTGTAAGCGCAAAGAAAAAAAGATAATAATGAATGCTAGATAAATATTTAGGTGTCTTTGTATGGCGTAGCAATCATTTCATTCGACATTTTTTAAGAGACAAAGAACACATCCTTGTTTAAAAGTCGGCCAACGAAATTTTCTTTCTAATACTGTTGGCTATTCTTTTGTTTCAAAGGGATCGTTTGAATTGAAAGCACCCAAGCTGTGAAGGTGTAATCTATATACTATGGAACAAGTAGTCGACGAAAGATGCAAAAAAATTCACCAAATTATCAAAGAACAAATGTGTTGTTGTGGGCTTCGAAATGGTTTTGCTAATCGCTACGTTTTTATTTCAAAGCCGCAGATCTATTTAATGCCTTCCGCCCTTTCATTGTAATTTTTGCTAGCGAGGGTTGGCTTGACGCCCGACAGTTGAAATTTCTGTTGGCTAATTATCGCGAAGCGAAGAAACTCTTAGTCGGGCCTGTTGTCAAAGGGTTGATCAATAAACGCCTTGGCTAAGTCGCGTGTTTGAAAATCACTTTGAAATCTTAAAGTAAACTAAGCAAATGAGATTAGGAAACCTGGAGTGTTTTACACCTTTACCAATAGGCTGTAAAGTGCTCTGGGGTCAACATTGATCCGCCGTGAAAAGAAACGTGAAGATAAACCGTTAAATACAGCCGTACGATCGTAAACACTGGCAAAGAGACTGAATTTTTTTATGAAAAGTTCCTAGAGGAGTTTTTCCAGAAAATACAACTTGGGGAAAACGTCAGTGTTATCGGATACAATGAATAGAATGTTCGACGGAGCGAGCCACTCTGTGGTTGTTTTATAATTGCTCCCTACTGAGAGCTCAAAAAGGAAGACGTCTAAACACAGAAGACCACGATATATTGATATATTGCCTATTCAAAAATCTAGGCGCCTCGGCAAGCGGCTTCTTGCGATTGCCAAAAAAAAGTCATTAAATGCAGTAGAAAGGATTCAATGTATTGTTGAGGTGCATTTTAACTTCAATTTCCTACCAACAGACATCAACCCTCTCGCTTCCAATTTTTCATGATAGTAACAGCGACTTGTGGTCAATGAGGCGAAAATGAGAAGTGTTTGTATATATACTGCGACCGACTCGTCATCACCTTTTTTCGTCGACTGTAAGATTTTGTAATTGAAAAACTCTCTTTTCTCACGAAGAATGCTCTTTACGGTCCACCTTTCATAATGTTTAGATCTCACTGTGGTATAAGAGTATTGATAGACGAATGTTTCGAATTTATTTATGTCTTCTGCTCCACATGGGGTGTTTGAAAACTTCAAAATGGCATGATTTAAGCTTTGTTCAAACACCTATTCTTCATAAATAGGCACCCGTTTCCCAAACACTAAAACGCTAGGAAGTCACGAAGAAGGTGTCGATGGTAATTTTTATGTGTTCAGCTCAACGCCTATAAATTTTCACCTGGAGTGACACTTTCCCTTGCAAATGATTTGTTCGGTTTTTGTTAAGAAAGTAGTTAGCATTTTGAACTCTTTGTTTCCCGTATAAAATAGCCCGGACAACCGTTATTCATTAACTTCAACAGGGTAGTCTAGAAAGCATTGTTAAAAAAGCTAGAAAAGAGATATTAGTAGAAGTCTTCCGTTTCAAACCGCAACACCTCACGCTACTCAAGCGCTTTTTGTCTTAGGGCTTAAGGAATCCATTGTCATACGTCGCGCTATCGTGACTTTTTCTCGTATTTTCATGTTATTGATGTGGGCAACTGTTCCACAAAAACACACACATTGTTCAAAATTGTAGGGAGCAAACTTCCTAGTTATCAACGGCGCCGGTTAAAACTTGAAAACAAACCACTTCGCGCCACATGACTTTGCGATCGATTTTCGGCTTTGCTCCGAAGGAAGGCTTGATAAGGCAAATAAAGGCAGGGTGGTATATTGCCGCGGACTTGAAAGGCAGTTGAATGGAAAGGAAATTTAGCTTGAGTGTTAGCTATAAACAGCACTAGGTATAACGCTACAGGCTTTAAAGATAATATTGACCGGAGAACTCAAAATTGTCACTTGTGACCTTGAAGATTGGCGTATCTTAAGATTTAGTTTGCTCACACGCTCTATAAGGAGGGTGTCAGTCAGCACCTGAATTTCAATGATCACAGATGTTTAAGACCCACAACGGATGCTCGTGGTTATCTCAAAAACCGTAACTGGCATTACCGACTGCTTCATGCCTGAAAGGATAAAAAAGCGGCTTCCTCTGATATTTTCTCTACAGTTTTATTTGTTCTTTCGTTCTGCCCTCGCACGTTGTGATGCCGTTGCGTCGCATCCCTAGCGCGTGCAAATGGCGGAGAAGAAACCGAAGCTCTCTGAAAAGTTCGAATTTTTTTGGCTTCAATTTTAGAAGAACAGCACACTGTGACAACTAAGGAAAAGAGCAAAATTTGTGTCATTTACCTGCGCGTCCGGTATATTGGTCGTTGATAACATATCGAACATATCAGGCCTACGTACGGCTGAATACACCTCTCTTCTCCTCGCGTGTTCCATGGCCGCTCCAGCAAACTGATGATTTATGTGCGCTTGTTGCAAAGCTTCCACATCGGACGGCCGTGTTCGGAGAACAGGATGGCGTGCTTGATGCTGCGACACAGGCTGTGGATGATTAGGCCCGGCCATAGATTGATGAGGCGCCCCAGTAGTTGGGTGAAAGCCTGTTGGTCCATTGCTGTATTGCTGTGAATGCGCTGTTTGAAACGGCTCTAGCGGGTGCGAAAAGTCGAACCTTGGAGGTTGCTGCTGTTGAAAGTGTAACGGATTATACTGCGGAGCGTAGTATTGATGAGCTTGAGGTTGCATCGATGAGGCGAGAACCTCACGGAAGTCGTGAGGTGGAGTATGAGACAGACGAGGTGCACACGACACTATACCTGCACTTGTAACATTGGCGGATGGCGACGATACGACGCCCGATCCACTGACTGTGCTTACTCCATGGAGCCCAAGGACTCGTTCCTATCAAATGAAAAGGCATATGGAGTTAATAACCCTATTATCTTACGAAAGGTAGCATGCGCTGTGGTATACCGGTGTGACACACTCTCACAACATCGATACCGTCAAAACTGGCAGCGATGATTTTCAAAGTTATGCAAGGACTTGGCGAATTTTAGCCTACCGCCATATATGACGAAACGTCAGGTTGCTGAGTCGATCACTTAGCTGAACGAGCGACTTAAACGCGCTAAAGGATCAAGTGTATTGTGACAAGTGCAGACAGTGATCGGTTCACTACTTGACTTGGTTTACAATGTACTTATATGCTTACCTCGGCTTCGATCAGCTCGAAGGCGGATGTTGAAGTCTCACTTCGTTTTGAATGAGATGCGGATGGAGATAGAGGAGTCAATGGAGGCGACAAGTCACGAGTTTGTGATCGCTTTCTTTTACTACCTGATTGTCTCTGTACTGGTTGAGTTGAAGTGTTCGTCCCTAAAGGGCCCAACTGGGACGTCATAATTAAGCTTAATTCACGGTCGGTGCTAAATGTTTTATAACCCCGGGCTCTCTACCAGTCGGTGGCGCAAAACGTTATTCAGTCACGGCAGTTTTTGTTTTGCTTGGCCTTACTCCACTCCTCTGCGGTAGAAATGGTCGAGTTGCACAAATGATCGCCGCAGGGAGATACGAAGGTGGTACTCCACGTTGCACTTCAAGCGTACACGGTTTAAATTTCGTGCAGCGGCAGGGCTTTGAGCTTCGTCAGGTCGCAGCGATCACTTTTCAAAAGATGCTTCTGGGAATTGACAAGACTTGAGTGGCAAGCCAGACAGTTTTTAATTATTTTCTGTCGAATTAAAGTTTCCAATTATTTGCAAATCAATTGAGGCCCCCCGATGGTTTATAGTACTTGTGTACTCTTCACCTTGTTGGCGATTGGCAGATTAAGAAAGCAAATCGTATAATAATGCTATCGAACACCCAATAATCTATGGTATATAAACAGGCAGGCGGAGCTCTGTCACAATTTTCACTGAGCCTTTTGTGTGTTCGCTCCCTTTGTTTGCCCAAAGTAGTGGGCGTGAGGTTTCGATCAAAAACGTCTTCCGTGGCATTTGTCTACCCTGACTTTGGCCCTCCGTTTTCAAGTGGTCATAACGGTTAAGAAAATCTTTAGATTTGACGTCTAAATACAAGAAAAAAAATTCGCGAGATTCGAAATTTGAATCGACCACGCGTGATCGGTTTGGAAAATGAAAAGCGACAAATGCTTCCTGAATCGTGACTAAACGGACGGGAATGGTTTGTGCTCTAAATTATACCAGATTAGATGGCGGTTCCCTTTGAAGTTTCTTTGCGCATCACAACAAGATAAAAGAAAGCTCTGAAACTTTTAAACGCGGGTCACAGTAAATTGAAAAGGCCCCATAAAAACGCCCACAAAAGGCCCTTTACCACATGTTTATAGGAGTTTAAAACGACCGTTTGTTTTAGACCTTTGAAGGGCTAATGCAATGTTTATACGAGCAATACCGAGGTACGCGTGTGGCGCGCGATCAAACCTAAGATCTACATGAGGCCAGCTATCTGTTGTATCTTTATTTTGAAGTGTTTGTAAACAAGAACGGTACTTGAGCTGGAAGGTACAGTATGCTTCTCTAACTTCCAGTCTAAATGTCCAACAGATTTGATTAATTATTCAATAAATAGCTTCTCTTATTTCATTATGTCACCAAGATGTCTTAATGACTTCTACACTCAATGCAAGAAAAAGCGCAAACTGTAAGATAATCAAATTCTCCGAAAGGGAGAAAACCACGAAATCCGGCCTGATGTTCTAGTTGTTCGCGTGGTTAGAAAACAAACATCTGTCGCAGACTCTAAAAATGAAGCCCAACTTGCTCTTTTACGATTACACTTGAACCAAAGAAAGCGCTCGGGCAAGTTTACTGCTTGATCACACAATAATTGTTTCTTGTTTACATGTACTTAGAATTTGGAAAGCCGAGAAAATTGCTCGATATAATTAACACCGAGGCGTGAGCCGGATATTTTCAACAAAAAAAAGGATCAATATTGAACTGAAGATCGCCAATATTTGAGATTGTGTTTAGTTCGGCGCAATGCCATTGTTTGCCAACATTCACTTAAGTGATTTTTTCAGTAAACATTTTTAAAAACCTTTCAGCGATTTCGCGCGTTTTGAAGATGTTTCGCGCGAAAACTTCTATAACAACAAAAGGCGCGCGGAAAGCAATAATTGACGAGCCACTTGCGTGTTATTCAAATTCTTTATGTATATTCAAAGAACCCTGCAGATGTCGGTCTTTGTCTTGAACCTGCAAGATCATGTTATTTATGTTTTAAGTCATGTAAGGGAATGAACGTCATGCTGTTGAATGGTGGCTACATTAAATTCTCCAACAAACTCACGCCACACTAACTTCCAAGAGATAACTCTTTCCGCCAAGGTCGTAAAAAATTCGTTCGCTTTTGTTCCTCTCCCGTTATAGAAAATTACAAAGCGGCAAAGTTTCGTAAAAAATCATTTATATGCTAATTTCACATTTTCGTTTGGCTACATCGTTTGCCTAAGTCACGAAACCTGATACAGAGGTTTGAGGGGCATTTTTCAATAAGTCTGATTGACAAATGGCAATAAAGAATTGATCGCAAAGTACTTCTGAGAAAAACTAAAATGAGAAAGCAGTTTAGTATTTGAGAAATCTCGCATTTTCGAACCTCGGTTTTGTTATATTTGCATACGTCTCCGACACAAAGACAATAACTAAAATGTTTGGGCTTTTCTCACAGAAGCTGGTACAAAAAGAATTCAAAAATGCTTTTAGTCCCCAGTTTTAAGAGACTATTTTTTTGGTTTTATACGATTTACAAGGTTGATTTCTCTTCGCTCAGGGAAAATAGAGAATAATGATAATAATAAAAACGAAGAGCCTACACTTTTCAAAAAAGCGACCACCATTGTTGATATCGCCTTCATCAGGAAACTCGTCAACTAACGGTCCGTTTACACTGTATCAATCGCCACATGGACCACAGGATAATATATTATAAAAATAAATTTTAGCAAACCTTTCTTTATAGAAACAAGTCATGGATCATGTTATTTATGTAACAGTCCAGTCTGTGAATTACTGAAATTCTGCGGTCGATGTATGGCTATGGCTATTCAACTAAAAGGTTTTTAGATCGATGTGCATAGTGTGACAGTAGTGTTAGTACTTTGTAAGAGTTATTGAGAAAGTGAAATTTTACACAGCTTTTTGTGTTAATTTTCAAGTGCTCGAAGCTGTAGGGCTGGTTTGCCGTGATGATTTATGTTAATTGTTTTTTATAGTCAATCCTCTTACGCGACAATAACACTTGAAAAGAACCTTCGGGTCGAAAACCGCTTAAGCTGAATTGCAACCATGTGCGCTGCGCCGGATTCTCAGAGTAATTGATACTTTACTGTATTTTACTGGGCCCAAGCATAAACATACAAACGAGTCTTTCAAAGAAAGAGGTGACGGACTATCACCTTTCGACAAGTTGTCTTTCATCAAGCCTCTTAAGTTTCAATCACGCTGTCATGCCATTTGCCATATAGAACGCTTCGCTGACTTGCATTATGAGCGGCCAGTTTTAATGCACATTTGTAAAACCAAGGCGATAATATGTATCGGCTTTTATTGCTTGTTCCTGATCGTTACACAAACAAAGGCTTAGCTGATACCTGTCGCAGGAAGAGGGGGTTACTAGGTTAATAGTATCATATTTCACCGAGTGTTTTCGCCGTATTGTTTGCCTAACACTTGTTGGCACTTTGTAATGATTATACAACAAAACAACGAGAAAATAATCGAGCGCAAATTATGTGAGAAAAGTCAACGTGGCGCGCACTAAAGCGCGAAAATTATGAAACTTGCGCAACGAAAAAATAAAGATATATCTTTCAAATTTTCGCTACGAATCTAAGGTATTTGAATACCAGTCAAAGATAGAAAATTCTGGTAGCTGGTAATCTATATGGAAATAAGGCGCTTTCCCTAAGCGACAGAGATACTAAAGTAATATGTGTAATTTGTCTTCCGAGAAATCGTTGCCCAAGACAACGGTAACCTACACTGAACAATTTGTATATTTAACTGAAAAAAAAAAACACGTTTGTATGAAGTGATTATCTAGCTGTTGATTTAAGAGGAAAAAATATTTCGAACGACGAATGGTGCGAAGAATGAAAAAGTAATCATTATTTTCGTTCATGTGAAGGTTCGATTACGGGATTGATCCATTCGTTTACACAGTGTTAATAAAATCAAACATACTTTAGAATATTTTCATGGCTTGAATAAGAATAGTAAATTCAAGTCCAAGTGAAATGGGTATGTACCTGTTGCTAGAGTAGTTTCG